GACGTCTCTTCCTGGTAACCTAAAGGGATGCTTTAAGATCCAGTCCCGGACATACACAATCAGCAAGTAAAAGACCTACCCACAATGGGATCCACACCTCCCATCAAGGTTTTAAATCAAAGGCATACAAATGCAGAGAGGTATTAAAAGCCTGCCCCGGCAGAAAAGAGCAGGTAAGCCGAAAATGTTAACGGTGTCCCAACAAAAGGGAGGCAGGAAAACGACTTGCTCGAGGCAACATGTGAGGAGGGCGAGCTGCAGGCCGAGTGACACGAGGGCGCCACACGGCCGGTCCCAGCCCGGCCGGGGCTGAATGGAGGTGGGCCCTGCCCTCGACCAAAAAAAGTCTCTACAGGTGCGCCCTGAGGAACTGCTTCCTCCGTGAACACTACGAGGGTCCTCAAACCCAGGCCCCGCTCTGAAAGCAAGCCGGCCTGACACCTTCCGTGGACATTCCCACTCGTCTCCAAGTCCCGGGTGTAGGTTACCCGGATATGCGACTCCCGACAGTGGCAGGTCCCCTTCCTCTTCCCCGCCCTCCGCCCAGGTAACCAGGCCCAGACCCTGGCTGCCTCACGCCAGCCGGGCTCCCCAGGGCCCTGGCCGGCCCAGGCTGTAGCCTGTGCGCCCCAGCTCCCGGCTGGCCGCAGACAGGGGCCCGAGCCCGAGCCGCGGGCTCCGCAAACTCCGGGGCTCCTCTCGCGCCCCAGGCCGCGGCCTCCTCCGCCCACAACGTGCTGGGCCCGGGGCGGCCCTGGCCCGCTCCCGCCGGCCTGCCAGCCCAGCCTGGGCCGGGCTCTGCAGAGCGCCGTCCCGCGCGAGCCGGGCAGGAGCCGGGCCAGCGAAGCCCACGTGCTTGCCCCAGAGCCGAGGCCTCGCGCGGAGCCATACTAACCACGGGCGCCATGGCGGCAGCGGAGGCAGAAAGGGAGGTGGGCGCTCTACGCAGACGCAAAGAGCTCGCAGCGCGCAGAGCACGCAGGCCTCAGGCCGTACCAATCGCTCGGCCACGCCCCTCGGCCGCCACGATTTCGCCCTGTTTTGTACGATCGGGGAGCGATTGCTTTTCCCTGAATGCAAAGCCCGTCCTATCGCAGGCCTTGGGCGGGGGGGGGGGGGGGGGGCGTGCTGAGGAAGGAGGCCCTGTGGCCTGTCCCACTGCAAATGATCGGAGGGGGGAGCTAGACTGGATGAGCCCAAAGAGAAATAGAGGGTTCGCTCTACTTTGGAAAGTTTTGGAAAGAGAAAAGAAATAAGGAAATTCACTAACCCATAGATCACCAGCTAGTGGTATGGGAGTAGAACCCACCAACTTGGGGAGTTGAGGCCTTTCTGGTCCTGGGGTCCTAATGCCCAAGAGCACTTTGGCTTCTTCCTACTTGAAGTGCCCAGCCTTGAAGCTGGTGCCCAGGGGCTGTGTCTCCCAGGGCTAGCCCTCCATGCTGCAGTCAGGTACACTCTCCAGTTTGACCCCTTCGCCATCTCAAATACAAGCCGTCCACCCTCCGATCATCACCACCTAGCTTTCCAGCGCGTGCCTTCTAGTTTCCCAGTTCCAAAAATTCTGTGCCAACACTTCTCAAACTGGCACGTAGACAGGAATCACCTGGGGATCTCCTCAAAATGCAGATTCCAATTCAGTGGGTCTCACTGGTTTGAGATTGTGCATTTCCCACAAACTCCCAGAAGATGCTGCTGCCGGTGGTGGTCTATGCACCCCAAGCTGAGTAGCAGGGATCTGCAACCCCCGAACTAAGATCCATTGACAGGACTGCTTTCCACCCACCCTCACCCCACTCTTGTCCTCACCAGTTACATCCTAGGGTCCTTCGTTGTAATCACCCAGCTGCATACACCCTCCTCTCCCTTCCACCTGGTTGCAGTGGCCTCCCCTGGCAGAAATCCCATCCTGGCTTACAAGGGCTTGGAGGAAACCCAGTGCACTGACTGGTGACTGGTCTAGGTTTAAACTCAGGCCTGTTGTGCCAGTTAACCACATACCAAACCCACCCTTTTATTCTTTTTTTTTTTTTAATGTTCATTTCCTTTTGAGAGAGAATGTGCAAGTGGGGGGAGGGCAGAGAGAGAGAGGGAGACAGAGAAAGACAATCTCTTCACACCAATTTTCTTGGAAGAGTTGCCTCTCCGTGGACTGTCCTCCCATTGTCCGTTAAACCCACTCTGGTCAGGCTTTTGGCCCCCAGCTATCAGGACAGCTCTCATCAAGGTCACTGGTGATGTCCCCCTGCTAGGGACTGGGGTCAGGTTTCTGTCCTCCTCTTCTTGCTTCCTTAGCAGCATCTGACACCGTGGGTCACTCCCTCCTCCTTGCTGACGTTTCTTGGGGGGTGGGCAGGACTTAGGGTCTCCTGGTTCTCCTCCCACTTCACTGGCCACTCCTTCTCCATCTCCTTACTGCTCCCTCCTCTTCCCTGGACTGAAGGGCTGCAGGACACAGAGCTCCCTTCATCTTTATCTGCACTTGACCTTTGGTGTGACCCAAGATCATGCCTTTGAATACAACTCCCCAAGTCTCTGTGTGCAGCTTCCACCCCTCCCTGGACTCCTGACTCACAACCAGTGACCTCCTTGATATCTCTAGTCTAGAGTGTGGAGTGGACCACCCTCACCCCCATGACCCCCCTCCCCTCCCCCCCCCTCCCCCCCCATCAACCTGCACCTACACCCACCTCCGTCCTCAGCCCCACCTAACCCCTGAGTTCCTGAGTCTCCACGCACATTGGTCTACTTTTCTTTGCTTGACATTTATTCCAACTTCTGAGACCATATGCTTGCTGCTCCCTCCACTTTGAACTCTTTCTGGCTTTTCTTGTGTCTGATCGCTTCTCATCCTGCAAGGTCTCGGGCTCAGTGCCTGTCTCTGCCCGGGATTACCCAGTGTACCCTCAGCTCCACCCCTCCCAGCTGCCCTCCTTCACATCATCCTGATAATTTTCTTTGGAGCACTTAGCACTGTCATTATTGTCTGTCATAATTGTACTTGTCCATGTTTATACTTGGCTAACCGTGGCTACTGTGGTCCCTCCCATGTGTATGACCTATGGCAGCTGCTTACTAACAGATGAAGACACGAATCAATGGATTAAATAAGCCCAAGTATTAGGAAGGGACTTCCATTTCCTACAGCCCCTCCAGAAGGAAACTCCTGCATAATTCGCTTATGAAGTATCCTGTAGTTCTGTATATCAGTTCTATCACTTACTAGGGTAACATTTTCCACCTTCTAAGGCTGTTGTCTGGATGAGTTCATACAAGTAAAAGAACTTTCAATAGTATCTTGTCCACAACATTAGCTATTGTTATTACAGTTCTTGTGGCTTAGAGCACAAATAGAACCAGGGGTAGAGAGGGGTAGAACAGGTCGTTTAGGGGCACCTGTGTGACTCAGTCAGCTGAGTGTCCGATTCTTGATTTTGGTCATGATCTCTTGGTTTCTTGGATGACTGTGCCCAGAGCCTGCTTGGAATTCTCTCTCTCTCTCTCTCTCTCTCTCTCTCTCTGCCCATCTCCTGCTCGAGCTCTCTCTGTCTCTAAATAAATAAACAAACAGATAAATAACTTAAAAGAGAGAGAGAGAGAGAAAGAACAGGTAGTTTATACCTAGAATTCTTTTCCTTTCTCCCATTGTCAAACTCCTATTCATCCTTCAAAACCCAGCTTTAAATATTATCTCCTAGCTTTAAAATATTACATCCTAACTGATAAGATTTTATCCAGCACCTTCTGTGGGTCAGTCTCTGGGCTTGATTCTGATTTCAGGAGGGGCAGAGACAGAGGCTGCCTTCCCAGAGCTCAGGATAACATGTGCAGAGAAGGTAGCAAATGACCCAAGCATGGCCCGCACTCTGGAGAAAATAACACTGGGATAAACAAGGACCGGCCTGGCCGTGAACAGCAGAGGGAGCTCTGCCGGAAAGGCTCAGAAACTCCTCTCCCTCCCCAACCCACCCCTTCTTTGGGGAACTCGGCTGGTGATGGGGTTTGAGGCCTTCATTACTTAGAAGCCTAGTAGGCTCATTTCAGTTCATTAAACTCTCGCGCATCACCGAGGGGCAGGCTCTGTTTCACCCAAGCAGAGAGGCTCTGAGAGGTCAGTCTCTTGGCCGAGAGACTCCAACCAGCCAGAGGCCCGCCTGGGATTCCAGGCCCTCCCACGCGCTGTCTGCGGAGCGGCGGCCGCTGCTCTCTGGCGCCCCCAATTGGCTGTGGAGGAACTGGGGACCCGCACACCCACTCGTGTCCCAGCCCCCGTCGTCCGGGAGAGAGCCGGCCTAGCCAGAGCGCCTCGGCACCCCTGCGGAGCCCACAGTCGGGGTCCTCCGGCCTAGCCCTGCGCGGCGCTCCTGCGGTTCCGGGCTCCGGGCTCGGGTACCGGGCGGGAGCCAGTCAGAGCCTCGGGCCCTCGCGCCGCTTGGTCCTTTCCAGCCCCCGCGTTCCCGCCTCTGCCCTCGGGGCGAGACGCGGAGTGACCGTGGCCGTGGCGGGAGCCCTCGTCGCGGCTCAGCGGCCGGCCTGGGAAGGGTGCACGGGAGCACCGTGCCCGAGCAGTGCTGCGGTCCAGCGCGGAAGGGGTGTCGCCTGCAGGTCACCCAGAGGACACCGGGAGGGGAATTCCTGGGGTGGGAGTGAGGCGAGGTGGGCGACGTGGAGGCAGGGGAGGGTAGACGTTGAGTAGGACGCATTGCTCGGTCCTGCGGCCTGACCTTCCGGGGCCACCAAGGGGGTGCTGGAGAGGCGGGGAGCGCGCAAAGGGCGCGACCCCTCCGCACGCCTGCTGCCGGTTCTCCCCGCCCCGGGCGCTCCAGACCCCAGCCCGGGCCTAGGTGGTCCCCGCCCCACGACCGCTGGACGCCCCGTCGGGGCGGGGCGGGGCGGGGTAGACGGGAGGGAGCCGCGCGCGGGCAGAGGGGACGCGCGGGCTCCGCGGCCGGCTCCCCGCACCGTGCACGCGCCGCCGCCTTCCTGAGCTTTTCCAGAAGATGTCGGGAGCCATCTTCGTGCCCCTGGAGGGCCTGGGGGCCCCGGACGCCGCGAGCGGCCACCCGCTGGTGTGCCCGCTGTGCCACGCACAGTTCGAGCGCCCGTGCCTGCTGGACTGCTTCCACGACTTTTGTGCCGGCTGCCTGCGGGGCCGCGCCACCGACGGCCGCCTCGCCTGCCCGCTGTGCCAGTGAGTGCCCCAAAGCCCAGTGGTCGCCCCCCACCCCCCGGGGAGACTGGCCCCGTCTAGATGCGGGGCTAGGTGCAGGGAGGGCAGGGCTCTGACTCCCGGCAGAGGCCGCTGGGAGAGGCTGCCCCCAGCCCGCACCTCTCAGCCCCAGAATGCGGGCTCCCGCCCATTGTACAGAGCAGGTTAACCGAGGCCCGGAGTAACTGGCAGAAGCCCTCCCCTAGAAAGCCAGGAGGCAAGAGGAAGGCTGTGCAGGATCTCAGCACAGCAATCTAACACTGACAGTAATTCACTTGGGGGATCCCTTGAGTATTAGATCAACAGAAGCAGGTTATGTTGGCTCAAGTTACAAGGGCTAGCCCTAAGTTTGTGCAATGCGATGAGAAAGGGTAGAGGGGAGGTGTCCACCTCTGAAACCCCAGGTCACCAACCCCATGGGCCCCCATGATTCGCCCAGGATGGGGCAGAGTGGGGGACAGGGTCAGAATGAGCACTGGGTGAGATATTTATAGCAGATGCCAGCTCCTATTTTTAGTTCCAGCCTGAAACGTGGGGGGGGGGGGTGGGAAAGGAGATAAGGAGCCATGGGGAAGGGGCATCTGGATCTTGGCTGCAGCTTCTCCACAGACACCAGACGGTGGTGAAGGGCCCCAGCGGGCTCCCTCCTGTGGATCGGCTGCTGCAGTTCCTGGTGGACAGCTCAGGGGATGGCATGGAGGTGGTGCAGTGTGCCAACTGTGACCTGGAGTGCGGCAAGCAGGCAGGGAGGCCTGGGGGTGGGGGGGGGAGGGGGAGTGCCTGGGGGTGGAGAGGAGGAGTGCCCCACATGTCCTTAGAGGAGTATTCCCTCCCTGGATTTTCCAAAACCTAAGTCACCCTGGATCCCAAATGTGGGCCCCGTTTTACAGGTGGGAAGACTGAGGTCCAGGACAAGTGACCTGAGGCACTAGCCAGATAGTGGCAGAGGTTAACATCATTCCATTGGGGGAGGGCTTACCAGTCCCCAAACTTGGGGTGGAGTTGGGATGGCCCTTGAGGGCTCCTACCTGGGGAGCTGACCAAGCTACCTGTACCCAAGGGGAAGTGAGGACAATGTGCTGTTGGAGAGGGGTGTTCCTGCCCCCCTCCCCCAGTCTAAGAAAGAGGAGCAGAGGCCAGGCTTCAGGCTGGGCTGTGAACGTGAATGGCACGAGGGACTCTGGCTTGTGAAGGTTGGATAAGGTATTCCAAGCCCCGGGAGGACAGCCCTGTGGGGCCAAAAGCTCGGGATGTGCTGGGCAAGTGAGAGCCGACAGTTCAGGAGGTTAGGGGTTGGAGGTAGGGACAGCATGGAAGGCAACGGCCTTGAATGCCAAAGTAAGGAGTTGGGTCTGTGCTTACACAGCCATTGTTGGGGTCAAAGCCACAGTGACAGTGGGAGACCTGGCCTCTCAGCCCTAGGTGTTGCGTAGGGGAAGGAACCAATGGGCCCTCCTTCCCTCTCCCAGCCAAGTTGTGACACAGATGGCCAGGGTGGGCACCGTTACTTGGCCACTGTTGAGGGTGCCAAGGAGGGCTTGAGAAGCCTTCAAACACGAAATTTTGTTGTAGGTAAAATGTTTCTGCTCCCCCCACCCCTCATCTGTAAACTGGGTATATTCAAGCGTCATGATTACCCGGAAGGGCTGCATTTAGCCGCGTGCCTGCCCCAGGCTCAGACTGACACTCTCTGACACGTGCGTGCTCAGGGACTCAGGCTCCTTGGCCCGTGGGCAGGCTGAGGCTGCGCTCGGTCCTCTGTCCTTAGGACGCAGAGACCACGTACTTCTGCAACACGTGTGGGCAGCCGCTGTGCGCACGCTGCCGCGATGAGACGCACCGGGCACGCATGTTCGCGCGCCACGACATCGTGGCCCTGGGCCAGCGCAGCCGCGACGTGCTCCAGAAGTGCAGTGAGTGCGGCGTGTCGGGTGGGGGCCGGGGCCGGGGCCGGGCCGGGCGGGTCTGCCCGGAGCCCTCACCTCCGTCCCCGCCGCCCCGGCCGCAGCGCTGCACGCCGAGCCCTACATCATGTTCTCCACCGACAAGAAGTCGCTGCTGTGCATCCGCTGCTTCCGGGACATGCAGGGGTGGGTAGGGGGGAGCGGGAGGCGAGGGGGTGCCGGAGGGCAGCCGGGAGCGGGGCTGACGCGCGGGGTCCCCGCAGGGAGAGCCGGGCGCACTGCGTGGACCTCGAGTCAGCCTACGTGCAGGGCTGCGAGCGGCTGGAGCAGGCGGTGCTGGTGAGCGCGGGGTGCCCAGCGCGCCGGGGCAGGGGAGGTGCGCGCCTGCCGGGCTGAGGCCGCCCTGTTCCCAGGCCGTGAAGGCCCTGCAGACGGCCACACGGGAGGCCATCGCGCAGCTGCAGGCGATGGTGGAGGAGGTGCGGCGCAGCGCGGCGGAGGAGGAGGCCGCCATTCATGCCCTCTTCGGCAGCATGCAGGTGAGGGGTAGTGGGGACCCGACAGCCACAGGCTGAGCATCCTCATCAGCCACGACCCGGTACCCACAACACCCCACCTCCCGCCCGCGTGGAGTTTCCGGTGTAGCAGGGCAGCCGCGCATGGAGTTACTTAATGACAGTGGCCAGGAGAGTTCCAGCCCCAGGCTGGTGCCAGAGGTGCGGGGTGGTGAGGGAACACTCCCCGCCCCACCCCCCACCCCCGGGGGAGCTGCTGACATTTAGGGTGAGGGCACCAGGACTCCCAGGCAGTAGGGGGCAGGCAGGAAGAGCCAGGAGGTTGGAGGGACAGCAGCGGAACCAGGTGTGTGGCTGGGCCCCAGGCGTGGGGGAGTGCTGGGCCGGGAGGTGGCGGGCTGACCGCACCCAGTCAGAAGCAGGCCATCCCTCCCAGGACAAACTGGCCGAGAGGAAAGCGCTCTTGCTGCAGGCGGTGCAGAGGTGAGTGGTGGTGGGGTCTCCACTCCCCGTCCCTTGGCCTCCATACACCTATCTCCCCGCCTGGACCTAGGCAGACCCTGCCCCACCCTGGGGAGCAAGACATCTGGGCGAGGAGGGCCGGGTGGCTCAGGGCGCCGGGGAAGGATGCACAGAGCTGGTGGGGAGATAGAACCTCCCTGTTCTGAGCCCCCCCCCCAGGTGGGGGTGGGTGGCACTCCCCTAGGAGTTGAGGCTGCCTGCCCCTCCCCCAGCCAATACGAAGAGAAGGACAAGGCCTTCAAGGAGCAGCTCTCCCACCTGGCCACTCTCTTGCCCACCCTGCAGGTAAGGGGAGCTGGGGGTACAGGGCTGGGCACTCACCCCCCCACCCCGCCATTTACAGAGCAGTGTCCCTCCCGCAGGTTCACCTGGTCAACTGTTCATCCTTCCTCAGCCTGGCCAATAAGGCTGAGTTCCTGGACCTGGGCTATGTGAGTCCCCCTGGCTCCTGAGGGGTCTCCCTCTCCCCATCAGAAGCCCACCCTGCACACCCAAGACTCCCACCTCGAGGCCTGGCAGCCTGCCACCCGGGGTCTGGACCAGGGCTCTCTGCGGCTGACCTCCTCCTCCTCCGCACCATCATCTGCAAACCATTCAGGGGCCAGCTGAGTCCCTTTTAAAAGGACGGCGAAGCCTGGAGGGGAGCGGGAGCCTCCACTCCGCCCACAGTGTGGGGTGTCTACTGAAGTCCGGCTCCCCCCAACTTGCCTGTGGATTTGGGGGCTGGGGTGGCGTGGGGGTTCTGGGACAGTCCCAGGGAAGGGACTCCAACACGTACCAGGTGAGTGCCAAAGTCAGCCTTGCCCTCGCGGCGCGGGGCCTCACTGTCCTGCCCCGCCAGCCCCCCTCCCCCGCTCCCGGGGGCCTGAGCGCCCTCCTCCCGCTGCAGGAGCTGTTGGAGAGGCTGCAGGGCATCGTCACGCGGCCGCAGCGCCTCCGGCCAGCGCAGAATAGCAAGGTGCGGGGCGGTGCGGGGCGGCGCGGGCTGGGGGGGCCGGGGCGGGGCCGGAGGGGGCGAGGAAGCCGCCTCACCAGCCGGTCCCGCCGCCCAGATCGCCAGCGACTACCGCGCCGAGTTCGCGCGCTGCCTGGAGCCGCTGCTGCTGCTGGGGCCACGCCGGGCGCCGGGGGCCGGGGCCGCCCCCAACACGTGAGCAGCTGGGGGCGCCCTCCCTGCAGCCGGGGCGGGGTGTGGGGGCGACACGAGGTACCCGGTCGCGGTAGGGACAGGCTGCCTGCCGCCCTCCCCAGACGGAGGGACCGGAAGCCCCGGGCAGACCTGGCAGAGCAGAGCCTGGTTAGGGAAGGACAGAGAGGACCCGGGACTGTCCCCAATTGCCGCTCATTTCCTCCGCCACTCGGCCCCCGGCGCCTAGGGACTGAAGGGGAGGGGCAGCTTGGGGTAAGGCCTGACTTCCGGGCCTTAGTCTGGAGAGCCAGACACCCAGGAGGACTTAGGAGAAATGCCTGAGCTGGATGTATGTGCCAGGGACCCTGGGGACCCGGTCAGGGGAGACTGGGCGTCAGGTGAAATGCCCAGAGTCCCGCGGGTGAGTGAACAAAGTTTATTATGCACCAGCCCTGACACATCTGGATGGACCTTTTCCTGTACATCGACATTACCCTGGATTTTTTAAAACACCATGCTGATGTCCTTGGTCTTGGGTGCGCCTTGCGCAGACTTTTTCAAAGTTCCTAGGTGGTTCTGGGGTGCAGTCCCGGGGAGAGGCTGAGAGCCTGGAGAAGGGGAGACCCTCCCAACCCCCCACATCTGCATCCACACTGGCTCTCTCCCCCTCAGGCTAGCAGCGAGCTCAGGCCCCAACGTGCTGATGGGGCCCAGCTGCCCTTCCCCAGCGGGAAAGATGCTGGGGTCACTAATCCAAAAGCCCACGCTGCACCGGTCCATCAGCACCAAGGTGCTGCTGGCCGAGGGTGAGGATACACCCTTTGTGGAGCACTGCCGCCACTATGAGGACTCCTACCGGGTGAGTGGGGCCAGGGACCTGCAGGCTGGGAATGTCCCCACCCCTGCCTGCCCAAAGTGCAGTGGCCAAATCGAGTCCTGACCACCTGGCCTGGAGGCTGTGCCTCTGCTGAGGCACGCTCACTAGGTGTCTGTGCACAGCGCCTGCAGGCAGAGATGCAGAACTTGAAGGACCAGGTACAGGAACTGCACCGGGACCTCACCAAACACCACTCGCTCATCAAGGCGGAGATCATGGGAGACATCCTGCACAAGTCCGCACGGGTGGACGCGCAGATCGCCTTGGAGTACGCCTCCCTGGAGGGGATGAGAGCGGTCTTCCAGGAGGTAGACCCTCCCCGGGCGCTGAGCCCCTTGCAGCCCCACCTGTCAGGCAAACAGGGGAAGGAGAGAGGAGGAGGAGCTTGGCCTGGTCCAGCATGAGGCCCTCGTGTGGCAGGCTCTGGAATGAGGCTCTTTGCTGCCTGGAACCCCGTGACCTAGCTGGGGGTGCCCTGTGGACCTGAGTAGCTACAGGACAGAAATGCCACCAGTGGAAATTCCAGCTGATGACCATGTGCAACGTCCAACTCCCTTTCTCTTTCAGATTTGGGAGGAATCCTACCAGCGGGTAGCTAACGAGCAGGAGATCTACGAAGGTCCCAGGCAACTGCTGCTGGGTGCACCCCCATCCTGGAGCTAACCCACGTGTTAGCAGGGGCAGGAAGTCAGTTACCCACTAACCAGATACAGACTCCCAGGCTCCTCCCCTTAGCCCTTGACTTTGCCTCACGATTGCTAATGCCCCAAAATGATTCATGTGAGGTCAGGATTCAGTAAACAGAATACCTCCACAAGTCTCACGATGCTCTTTAATTAAAGAGGCAATCGATGACGTAGTTGGGATAGATACGTAGAAGGTGTGAGCCTGACAAGAAGAACCTGAAGCCAACAAGACCCAACGCTCTGGCATTGGCCCCCACAGCCCAGCTCCGTGACCTTCTCCAGCTGAAGCAGGAGAATGCCTACCTGACCAGCATCACCAAGCAGATCACGCCCTACGTCCGCTCCATTGCCAAGGTGAAGGAGCGACTGGAGCCCAGGTGAGAGCAGGGGTTGTTCACAGGGGAGCCAAGACACTTCTGAATGTGTGTGGACAAGGTGCCATACGTGCAGAAGAGCTCCTTTTAGGAAGTCAGTGGGCCAGGTCACGAGGGTTTACTCAGGGCATCTGGGCAGACCAGGTGCTGGACATCTCTCAAAGACACAGAATGAGTTGGCTGCTCGGAGTTTCTGCTTTGAGGCACAACATTGCCCACCTCTAGTCCTCAGGAACAGGCCAAAGCAGAAGACACTTCTTAGGGGTGAAATGAGGGCCCTCAACAGATCCAGGCAGCAGGACACGGAGGAGAGGGCAGAACTGCCTCACTACATGGTTAAGCCAAGTCTAGGCTCTCAGCACCATACTTGGGCATCAAAAGGTGTTACAGTGGCAGAGGGATGTTGGTGGCAGGTTCTCAATGTGCTTGTCTCTTGCATCACCTGGTTCCAGGGTGGGCTGGTTGCCCTGTAGGTCTGACCGCGGTCAGCCTGAAGTCTTTCTCCACCACCCTCTGGGGGACTCCCGTTGCCTTGCCCCTGCACCCTTCCGTGACTCTTTGGAAAAGGGTGCACAGGAGGTACACATTTTGGACAGCACAAGTCTGAAATGTCTATATTCTGCCTTTGCACTTGGCTGATGGTTTTGCTGGGTATCGAATTCTAGGCTGGAGGGGTGCCTGGGGTGCTCAGTTGGTTGAGCATCTGACTCAATTTTGGCTCAGGTCATGATTCCAGGGTTGTGGGACTGAGCCCCTCACCAAGCTCCTGGCTGAGTGTGGAGGCTGCTTGAGGTTCTCTTCTCTCTTCTCTTATCTCTCTCTCTCTCTCCCTCTGCCCCTCTTCCCTGCCCGTGCTTGCCGTCTCCCTCTCTCAAACAAACAAATAAGTCATGAAATTCTAGATTGGAAATGATTGTCCTTTGAAGGCATCACTGTATTTCCTTGCTTCCGAGATTGTCTTTGAGAAGTTTGAAGGCATTCTGACTCCTAATCTTTGTGATGAGATCTACTTATTCTCTTTCGAAGCTTCTGGAATTTTCTCTGGTCCCAGCATTCTGAAACTTCACACTGGTGAGGGTCTACTTCCATCCATTAGGAAGGACCTTTCAGTCTGTAAGTTCATGTGCTTCAGGTTTTTTGTTTTGTTTTGTTTTGTTCATTTTGAGAGAGAGAGAGAGAGAGCAAGCCAGGGAGGGGCAGAGACGGAGAGAGAATCCCAAAGACGCTCAGCTCCTTGTGCAGAGCCCAATGTGGCATTTGAATTCAGGAACTGTGAGATCATGACCAATCTAACCAACCAAGCCACCCAGGTGCCCCCATGTCCTTCAGTTTTGACATGTCTTCTTGAATTAGTTGATTTCTTCACTTCTTCTCTTCCTGGAATCCCTATTATTGGACCATTGGCTTTCCTGGGCTGATGTACCTCCTGGGTACTTTCTTCTTTGTCTTTCTGCTGCACTGAGAGATTTCTTTTCTTCCAGCCCTTCTGTTGAGTTCATTTTTGAAGAAAATTCCCAAGAGCTCTTTTTAAAATTTCATTGTTTTGGGGGGCGCCTGGGTGGCTCAGTCGGTTAAGCGTCTGACTTCGGCTCAGGTCACGATTTCACGGCCTGTGGGTTTGAGCCCCACGTCAGGCTCT